AACAATAATTAAAGAATAGAATGCATCCATTTTTATACCATCGTGTTAATTCGCTTGATCTACAGAACATCATTAATCATGGTTCCGCAAAGATAAATTCTCTAAGAGATCTTAACAAAAAAAAAAAAGAATTTTCACCTTCGTAAATCCTTGATTCCGTAATTTTTCGAGAGGCTTGCGCGACGACGCAAGCCTCTCGAAAAATATGATTGAGTAATAAATGAAAAATAAAATAAGCATCTCCTCGATGGTTTATCTACATATAAATGTTCATTTCTGATTCCCGTGAAGTTTCATAAATCTCTGTGAATTTTTGTCAATTTACTCTCTCCTCTTTCCCTGTATCGAACTGACGTTTACTCGTCTTACCATTTCAGTGATAAGCCGTGCGCTTTCGAGTCGCGGTCGATGCGTGTGCGCGTATATGTTTTTCGGTAGCGGACAGCGCGATCCGGTCTCGGGCGTAGCGCGCAACGAATCGCGCGCTGGGTCAAGTATAACCGGTCCCGGTGGGCCCTGCGGGATTGCGGGGCCCCGCGTATGGGCAGCAAGCAGTCTACCGATGTAGCTGGTTAGCGGGCGCGTCGGTAGACTTCTTGGCACCAACTTGACACAGACATAGCCTCAACCAACTTGACGCGCCCAGCCATCCCACAAAGAGATATGATACCGAACAATATATTCGAAATTAATATGGATCGACGCGGTCACTTTGCTTGGCGGAATATTTAATCGCTCGTAAAAATCGCAGGCATCACCTGTTTCGAATGATTTGTAATTTGTTTCAGAATTCAGGAATTCGCGTTCGGAAATTTTATTGTCTTACATTTCGTTTTATGTAATAAAATATTTTAAGTATATGCAACACAATATACATACATACTTATATATATAATTATAAATAGCGTTTGATTCTGAAATTAACGCGAATTATAAATCGTCCAAAGTGAAAACACTTGAAAAGTTTTCTGTCTTTTTTTAGTTTTTTAACTCTTCCAATTAGACAGACAGACAGAGAGAGAGAGAGAGAGAGAGAGAGAGAGAGAGAGAGAGAGAGAAAGAGAGTAGACAATTTAATGAAAGATTTGTTAATCTCTTAGAATCTATATATCGGATTATGTTTCGAAACAGATTTATACAGATTTATTTGATGAGAATATTACATTAGAGATTTCGGTAAAGTAATTTTCAAAATAGTATATTCGCAGGAAATTAAAATTAATCCCTAATTTGGAAATTAAAAATTTGTTTTGGAAATTAAAAATTGAGTTTTTTAATTAGACGTTGATGCGATTAAAAAGTCAATCCAAAAAATAACTTTACAACTACATATTTTTTCAGAAAAAAATTGTTATTATTCTATTTTTTCTCCGTTTTTTATTCATATAATCTCTGAATTGTAGTGTGTTTTAAATAATTTCCAGAAAGATTAAATAGTAGCAATAAAGAAATTGGAAACGAAAAGGAAATTTCCCAAATACTATACCTGTTAAGATAACACTTTATTGATAAACTTGAAGGTTTTTTTATTCAGCTTTTCTGTGACAGATAAACATGATGTAATGAGAAAAATATGCTAAAAATGTATTTTTTCAGTACAATCTTTTAACAACTGACGCACATCTAATAAGATAATTTATTTTAGTATTTTACCCAGATAACACTCAATGTTTAAAAGATATCTTTATGTTAACCTTCATAGATATTTTTTAGACACGTACGTTTCAAAAGACTTCCTTTAAAATGTCTTTATGATATACTTTTTAGACATACAAGCATTGTCTGGGTATATCTGTTTATAGTATATATCAGTAATCCTGTTATATATTTATCTTATCTATGTGCTCTTCCCATATGTTTCTATAGACTTATATACAAGGAATGTATGATAAAAATATCACTTTTCGAAGAAATTGGAACCTCGTGATTAATTACATAACTCTCCCGTACGGAAAGGTGAAGTGTACATCCATATTTATCCTGCTGAAATCGTATGAAACATTTTTTGTACTATTTAATAATGCATAAAATTAAATAAAACTTAAGTTCACATAGGGTCGAAGGATAAAAATTAAAAATTGAAAAGTTTTGTCTAATATTATGTTTCATCTTATTTCATATTTCAAACTTTTCGAATCGTTATGCCTACAAATTAATTTTTATATCTTATCTGTGTTGTTAATAATAATTTGCTCTACGTTGAAGATATTAATTATACGCGTAGAAAAATCTTTTACGTAGAAAGAAAAAAAGTAAAAATACATTCTATGTTGCAGTAAATATAAATGAAAGCAATTTAAGGGAATCTTAAAGATATCTGTAAATAACGCTTAATTTTTATAACAATTATTTTTTCCTCTTTTACAGATTCGATCATTTTCCAAGATTAAAATATTGCATTAATACGTGGCTGTGAAATGGAGTTTATATCGAGAGCGATTAAAAATTTTGATTAAGATTTTCATTTCTTAGTCCAATGTTACGCTTTATCGTTGTCACGTTGTGACAATATTTGTTTAATATATAAAAAAACTATGTAATTTGTATTTATTGTATGAAATAGTATAGTCCACAGACTGGTAGTTTGCACGAAGGAACAACGTGGAGTTTTTAGAATTGGACTTAGACGTAACGCTAATGTTTTAAAAATTTATCACTCAAAAAAGATATTCGTTATAAGTGGCTTGTGTCCAATCAAACTGTATCCAATCGGATACCACTTATATGTACGTCAATAGTATGTAAAAATCGTCTGTATGTTATTAACTAAGCACTTAATCGATGAAATAATCAGTTTTAGATCCTCTTAATAATTAAATTAAAATGAATGAAGCTCACTTTTCTATGTAATATAATTCGTTTCAAAATTCAGAATGAAATTTTATTTATAATTTCAAATGTTCCACATAACACGAGAATTCCATTTGAAGAATCAGAATATCGACATGTATAAAATATTTATTAATAACACGATAGAATTCTATTTGTGATTTTATATGTACACGAAATCTAACGTGGATTTTAGGTATCTTAAAATGAGAATTAAGATTTCATAATCTTCATTGAAGATGATATGAATATATCGAATTTATTTTAACAAGATAACTGTAAGTTCGAGGATTTGAATAGATGCCGAGAAAGCTGGCAAAAGTAAACGGTATATCGATATTTTTATTCACGCCGCTCATATCACCTTCATTTGATATTTGCGGCTTGAATTCACTTTCACCACCGGCCGCCACTAATCTTCGCTTCGCCGTTCCTTTTACACCTTACGGGATACACCACATGCGTGTATATATACGATCTATCAGATAATTATGTTTATATAATTACATCGATCATATCTTAAACTAATTGGTAGTTTTAGGCAGACGGTATATCATAATTTAATCTTACAAATACCATCTCGAAACGTGTACGATTGTATAGTCTTTCCATTGGCAAGATCAGATTTAAAACGATCTTAAATATAAAATCAAACTGAATTACCACCCTTAGCCTACAGCTATACTTCGATTTAACGTATAGCTATTTGGGGAAGAAATGTCAATAATAGATGTAACATTTTCGAAAAGGCGTCCTACAAGAGCCACGTAATATCATCATTTTATATGTTTAATTAAAAAATTTTTAAATTTAATTTTTAAATTACTTGACTCTTCTTACGATTGATTATATTTTATTGGTGTTTGTGAAGAACACAATCTGTAATCTGAAGATGTTAGTTTTCCACGTTGAAAAACTTTTTACAACTTCGCAAGCCGCCATCGCGTCCTCTAGTCCTGGTCCACGATACCACCTCGTTAAAGAGTCGAGTTATCGGCGACCAGTCCTGGTTGCCAATACTAACCGCCTACTCGTTCGTCAGGGGCGGTCCTATCTCTATGATACAGGAACGTGCAAATAATGAGCCAAAGATTCTAATATGTTTCAAAAATTAAAATAAACTGGTATTTTTTTTATATAATTATGAAATTTCATAATATATACAAGTTGTAAATATATTAAACATAAA